ACATGGTTGTCCCAAATGTCAAGGTTAGTTCTTTTTATTCATTGTAAGTGATGATTAATTAGTGATGCTAATTAACTAATTCCCATTTTCAGATAAATCCCTAAAAATTAGATATTTAGATGTTATATTTCACATTTAGAAAGTATTTTGTATTATAATTCATAATATATACATAAAGTAGAGTTTTAAACACAAGGTAGTTTTATGTAATGCTGAATTTTGCTTTTCAAGCAGAAATAAAGAATTGAGCATAAAAGTATAATATTCAGAGTAATTTCTTTAGACAGGAGAGATAGAGCCTTTGGTGGCTTCACTCCAGGTAGAGGAAGAGGAACAACTGAATCAGATGCTGTTGAGATTAAATGAAATAGCAGAGGTAATGGGAATTAGCATACAGACTAAAAAAATAGCAGAGGTAATGGGAATTAGCATGCAGATTAAAAAAAAATAGCAGAGGTGATGGGAATTGGCAAACAGATTAAAAAAAATAGCAGAGGTGATGGGAATTAGCATACAGACTAAAACAAGAGGCCCAAGGGCCACATTGCTCACCTGAGCACATCTACTAGGAAAAAGCACATATCAGATCAAAACTGAAAGTTTACGGGGGGGGGGGGGGGGGGGTTAAATTTTAATCCTCCTGGGTGTCATGATTTTAACAATGTACAATCTACACTACCTGAGGATGATTCCATATAAATAGAAAAATATCACTAATCATGGCTTTGAAGTACTTTAAAAGGTTTCCCTATATATCCTTATGTACAACTTTGGTCAGCCATTTTGGGCCCAAAACTAGCCCTAGAGGTCATGATTTGAACAAGCTTGAATCTTCACTAACTAAAGATGATTCCACATAAGCTCGTCTTTCCTGGCCCAAAGGTTCTTGAGAAGAAGATTTTTAAAGTTTTTCCTATGTATTCCTATGTAAAACTTTGGTCGGCCATCTTAGCCCCACCCTAGCCCCAGGGGTCATGATTTGAACAAACTTGAATCTACACTACATGAGGATAATTTCATTTAAGTTTCATATTTCCTTTCTCAATGATTCTTAAGAAAAAGATTTTTAAAAGATTTTTCCTATATACAGCAAAACTCGCTTAGTACGAACACGGATATTGCGAATTTACGGATATAGCGAAGTCATCTTGGATCCCCAGCTATATAAATTTAATGATTTTCTTATACGGTTATAACGAATTACGGATATAGCGAAGTAATTTCATAGGTCCCTGTGACTTCGTTATAACCGAGTTTTGCTGTATTCCTATGTAAAACTTTGGTCGGCCTTTTTGGCCCCACCCTAGCCCTGGGGGTCATGATTTGAACAAACTTGAATCTACACTACCTGAGGATGATTCCACATGAGTTTCATCTTTCCTGGCCCAGTGGTTCTTAACAAGAAGATTTTTAAAGATTTTTCCTATATATTCCTATGTAAAACTTTGGTCGGCCATTTTGGCCCCACCCTAGCCCCGGGGGTCATGATTTGAACAAACTTGAATCTACACTACCTGAGGATGATTCCACATGAGTTTCATCTTTCCTGGCCCAGTGGTTCTTAACAAGAAGATTTTTAAAGATTTTTCCTATATATTCCTATGTAAAACTTTGGTCGGCCATTTTAGCCCCACCCTAGCCCGGGGGTCATGATTTGAACAAACTTGAATCTACACTACCTGAGGATGATTCCACATGAGTTTCATCTTTCCTGGCCCAGTGGTTCTTGAGAAGAAGATTTTTTAAAAATGCTATTAATTTTTCACTAATTCATAATTATCTCCCCTTTGAAGAGGGTGTGGCCCTTCATTTGAACAATCTTGAATCCTCTTCACCCAGGGATACTTTGTGCCAAGTTTGGTTGAAATTGGCCCAGTGGTTCTTGAGAAGAAGATGAAAATGTGAAAAGTTTACAACGACAACGCCAACAACGACAGACGACGGACAAATTTTGATCAGAAAAGCTCACTTGAGCCTTCGGCTCAGGTGAGCTAAAAAATAGCAGAGGTAATGGGAATTAGCATACAGTCTAAATAGAGTAGCAGAGGTAATGGGAAAGATAAGCGTGATGAATGTGTTCTAAAGGAGATGTGAGTCCTGTTGAAGTAAGAAGAAATTTATTTATCCATTAACAAGAGAGAAAGTAATCATTAAGTTATTTATCCTGATTTATTTCGTGTTAGTATGCTATAGAGAAGAATGTGCGAGTGATGGTGGATGCAGAGCAGACCTATTTTCAGCCGGCCATTAGTAGATTAACCATTGAAATGATGAGGAAATTCAACAAGGAGAGGGCTGTCATATTTAACACATACCAGTGTTACCTAAAGGTACTGTTTTCTTATGAATCGTTGGAAATGTCTAATTTTATAGATAGTTTTCAGTAGACCCATATTGACAAGTTATTTCCCGTTGGCCGCCATTTTGGGTGTCAAGCAGGTAATTTTCCCTCTTTGTCCTACCAAATATAAGAGGGTATATAAGAAATATTTGGAGAAAAATCGTTATGGAATAAACATTATGAAATAAAGGAGGCTCTAACAAATGTATATTTGTCAGATAAACAATGCTTCTTAGCCCACTATAGCCAGTATAAGAAGTTAAAGTTGGTTGATTTATGAAGGAATATGAGCATGTTGACCCACAATATGGCGGCCGAAGGGAAATAACTCTTGTTAATTTGGGTCTACTGAAAACTATCTTTTGGATGATAAACTTAGAAATTAATTATTATATTATTAAAAATCATACTACTGATCAGTATTTGATATTTTTAGTCTGCGTTTAAATCCGTAAAGCTGGACTTGGATTTATCAAATCGTGAAGATTTCTATTTTGGAGCAAAAATTGTACGAGGGGCATATATGGAACAGGTAAGTAAAGGAACTGTGATGATTGAACTTTAACATGTAAATGTTTTTCCAAAAACTTAATATCATCGGTGATTTGTTAAGTGAAATGAAGGAAAGTGTATCTTCAGTGATGAATAATATATATGATATTTATTTAAATTTTGTTTTGTTTTATGCTCATCAACTGCATTGAGATTTTTTTTTTTATGTTTTTTTATGAAAAAATTGTTGATAGCATGAATCAAAAAATACATGTTTGCCTCCCATGAAATTAAATCCACACAGACCTATCATTATATATGAAATACAAATAACTTTGCTTCCATTAAAGCAAAATAATTCAAGAGTAATTGAGACCATTGATACATTTTCCTTATGTCTTATTGGAATATTGATGAATTTTTAAAACAATATATATGTATTTATTATAAGGAGAGAGAACGTGCAGCAACCATTGGCTATGATGACCCCATTCAGCCCACATTTGCAGCTACCTCACACAGCTACCATAGAGTGGTGGAGGAAATCATGAACCAAATCAACCAGAGACCTCGAGGGAAGATAGCGGTCATGGTGGCTAGTCATAATGAAGAGACCGTCAAAGTGACAGTGGAGAAGTAAGCACTGTATCTGTAGTCATACTGTAAGGGTAGAGAAGTAAGCACTTTGTCTGTAGTCATTATGAGTAAGCTAGTCATAATTAGGTGGCTAGTCATAACGAGAAAACCTTCAAAGTGACATTAGAAAAGTAAGCATATATCTGTAGTCATAATGTGCATGTGCTTGCTAGTCATAACAAGGAATCTGGGACAATAGAAAAGTAAGCATTGTATCTGTAGTCATTATTAGGTGGCTAGTCATAAGGAGGAAACTGTCAAAGTGACAGTAGATAAGTAAGCACTGTGTCTGTAATCATAACAAGTAAGCTAGTCTTTATAAGGCAACTAACCATTATGAGGTGACTAATTATAAGGAGTTGTTATTGTGAGGTGACTAGTTTATTTATAATGAGGTGATAAGTTTTACTGAGGTGACTAGTTATAACGAGTTGACTAATTTTAATGAGTTGTCAGTAGAAGGTTAACATTTGAGTTACAAGGTATTTTGAGCCCGGATCGATAGATCCGAGGCGTATATTGTTTTTGTCCTGTCTGTCAGTCTGTCTGTCCGTTTGTTTGTTTGTTTGTTTGTCCCCAAACTTTAACCTTCGCCATAACTTTTGAGCCATGAAAGGTAGAAACTTCATATTTGGTATGCATACTTCACTAATTAGGTGCTTTCAAATGACACCAATATTAATGACCTTGTGACCTTGAATGTGACCCATATGCTAAAAATAGCTTTTCTGTCTGCAAACTTTAACCTTTACCATAACTTTTGAACCATGAAAGATAGAGACTTCATATTTAGTATGCATACTACACTAATAAAGTTCAATAAAGGTCAATGACCTAGTGACCTTGACTGTGACCTATATGCTAAAAATATCTTTTTCATACCTTTAACCATTATTTTTGAACCATAAAAGATAGGGACTTCATATTTAGTATGCATAATCCACTCATCAAGTCCTTTCAAATGACACCAAGGTCAATGACCTTGTGACCTTGAATGTTACCTATGCTTGTATGCTAAAAATCGCTTTTTCGATTTTTGTTGCTGCCGGGCGCATTGTGTTTCACAAACACATCTTGTTCAGATTTCATTAAAGTCTACATTCTTTTATTGAACAGAATGAAGAAGAACAATATTGGACCACAGGATAGATTGATCTGTTTTGGTCAACTTTTGGGCATGTGTGATCACATCAGCTTTCCACTAGGTACTCAATTTTTCTGTCTTTTTCTAGTACATGTATACCAGTATAATGCTCAAACAGAACTCTATTTTCATATCAGAAAACACATTCCATGAGTTATTAATTATGCTTGAAATATTATTTTATGATAATTTTCTCCTAGTCATTGTATTCAACAGAATTTATATTAATTACAGGACAGGCTGAGTACTCCGTTTATAAGTATGTCCCTTACGGCCCAGTGGAGGAAGTTTTGCCCTACCTGTCCAGGAGGGCGATGGAAAACAGGGGGATTCTAAAGAAGGTCAAGAAGGAGAAACATTTACTCTGGCAGGAGTTACGTCGCAGGATTAAAGGGGGCGAAATACGATATAATCCAACTCAGGCATCAGCTTAAAATCATAGAGGCGAAATCCAACAACATCTTTGTCTAAATGTTATAAACTGATGAGGAGTCCTAAGTTAGGCACAGAATTAATTCTGGATTTTAGACTGTACTGAATTGATACTTCAACATTTGACTTCTGTATACACTCCACAGTTTGTATGAAGTTTTAACTTGAAAAGTATCAGTTTAATCACAATGGTGATTGACAAACTGTAACACTATCTCTGTATAGTCTAAAACTAAACATGTGCAGATATATAGATTTGATGCTATGCATAATGAAATACACATGTATATATATTTATGTCACTATTTAAATTCTGTCATTCCACACAGAATATTTCTCGTTCTTTGTTCCATTAAATGGTACAATATGTACATTTTTTATGCTTGTAGCAGTTTTATTATTTGTGGTGCAGTTAGTTTTTTGATATTTGCCTCTGTAACCTGAGAACATGCTCAATGATTCTTCTTCCTAAGTTTTATATATTTAAGTTTGATAGATTTTTTTTAATATTTTTAGTTGTCAGATAAATGAAAATTGAATCTCTAGAATTTCCCCATCTCTCTTAAGGGAAAAGTAATGTTTTCAATGTAAGTATATATTGTACATGTACCTATGTTTATGTGTCAAATTTTATTGTTTTGTTGATCATGTCTCATTATTTAGCCCGCATCAGATTCTTTTAACATGCTTACCAGACATGAACTTTGATGTTCTGTAGAAGTACCGTACTTTTTTCCGCGTGGTATTAATTTACGTTATGTACGCAGTCAAAAATTTTCCGCGTATATTTGTCTAAGCGAACTAAATATAAATGTTAGGCATATAGTGACAATCTAGAAAATCCGCATAATTTTCTACCTGCGGATTAAACAGAAATTGAGATAATGCGGAATTATGACCCCATGGAAAAAAGTGCATCTACAGTATTTCTAAGTAGATTGGACAGATGGGTTATTACAGGGCCATATCAGTCCATACTGTAAATGACCTAGATCCCCTCTCGTACTTACTGTATAGTTTATAATTTGAAGTTTGTACAGAAGATACCATATCTATACAATACTTAACTGAACCTAATTGTATTACCAGCCATTAGTTCTTCCCATTGCAGGATACTGATATGTCTCCATAAGATAAAATGGGCATATTTTAAGTTGTTTGAATCTCATATTTTATCTCAATTTATTTTTCTACGTTATCTCTATCCAACCTTTGTTCTCTTTTGTGATTGTTATTTTTGAATGTGCTCTATTGCATTTTCCTTTAGTAGAAAATTTATATTTGCTAATCTTTATTGATGTTTAGAGTCAACAAGATTTTGTGAAACATGGAACCTCACAACAAATGTAGATGTCCCAAAAGTAGTGATTGTATCCATTGTCTGCTTCAACAATCTTATATGTTGATGAAAACTTGCAAATTTTGTAATTCATAGAATTAAAGGTTCACGTACTACACTGTGTCAAGTGGAGAAAGATCTACAAAAGTTCAAGGCTAAAAAGTCAGGGGTAATTGAAAAGTCTGTGACAACTTTTTTTTTGTCTCACAATAAAAGATAGATATCTACAAATTTTATGTTATTAGATTAAATTATTGCTGATAATGAAACCTATTTGTTTGACAATTGTATTTATTTGGAAGATTGTTAATAAAAGAAATTGTAAAATCACGAATTTCTCATGGAGTCAAATTTAAGAGGTTTAGTTGATTTGTGCGGATTTGATTTCAAGGTTGGAGAAGTGCAGAGTAAAAATGTTTGCAATTGGAGGTGGTCATGAATTCAAGGGTCTCTCCAATCCTCAAAAACAACAGAAATTAACCCAACCACCCCCATGAAAATTGGTGATTTCACAGTACCCTTTGTTTTGTTAGGAATCACCAGATAAAAGGTCAAGATTATTGATAAACGAGCTGGTACATGTACATACATTTTGCAGGGACACTATCAATGTATTACTTTTATTTTTTTTTAATAACTTATACAATGGTACCATGTTAAGGTGGAATATCCCTCTGATAAGAGAGATAACTCTTCTGATAAGAGAGATAACTTTCTTCAGACATTTTGCATGAAATCCAATAAATTTTCATGTCAGAGTTAACAAGTTTCATTCACCTCAACTCAACTCAACTCAATCAAACTTATTCTATGGTACAAATGTTGATTAATAGTTTCTATTGCTAGTATGTACATTAATTATTTATAATAATTTACTTAAAACATTTATACTCAGTTCCTTTAAACAGTGTAAATGGAGAAATCTCTATCTCTTAAAGTATAATTCTTTTAATTGTACAGAAATTTCAGATGCAGTATTGTTTATAAACATTTAATTAATATTTTGTTTCATTAAAAAATATTTTTAAGGGCGATAATGGAACGATAACTCTTGTTTATGGATGCGTGTTATTTTACATGCACAGAAAACAATTTGTAATTGTGATTTAAATAGCAGCGCTTCAGTATGTTTTCTAATGGGAATTAGATAGGTATGAAAGTAAATATTATTTTTATATATACCTCATATTTCTAATTTAGATGTGAGATAAAAAATAATTAATCTTTCTATTTACCATATCAAATTTTCTTCACATCATGATTTGACATATTATTCATTTCTGAAAAAGTTAGCAGCGCTTCATACTTCAAACTATTTTTTCCATTTGAATTTAATGCTATAGTTGTTGCTGAAAATCAATGTCTGGATTTTTAAAAAATAAGTCGTGAAATTTGGAGCAGAGGGATATCGCCCCTTAAAAATGGTACATGTACATTGTTTTTTTAATAAACTTCGCTTCTTTTAATTTTGTCTTGCCTGACTTGTAAAGGAATTAACTACTGTAAATCACTTTTTATTCACGAGAACTTTATTTTCGCGTAATTATGCGAGACAGTGTGATCGCGAAAACTTAATTCTCGCGTATAATAGTATTCCTTAAGATTATATAGAGGAATAATCACAATTCTTGAAAATGTTGTCTCGCTTATCAAGAGTCAATGACTATCACGCGAAAATAAGGTATCGCGTAAATTTAGTGATCTACAGTATACCCTGCAAATGAAGTTTAGGGGGATATAATGGAATCACCATGTCCGTTTCTGTCCATCTGTCAGTAGACAAAGATTTTGTCTGGATCATTTATTGGAAACCATTGCAAGGATTGATAATTTGTATACTTATTATTCACCATATGAAGGTGCGGACCTGGTGTTTTCATCATAATTGGATGATTTTTCTGCATTTTACAGGTGGTTTTGCTTTGTTTTTTAAAATTGAGATGACTAATCCTAAAGAATTGAGTAGTTATATAATGTGGTGAATTAAAATGATAAATCCTAAAAAAAGACTAGTTAGATAATGTGGTGAAATGTTATAATGAGGCGACTAGTTACGAGCTAGTAAACTTAGTTTTACTGAAGTGACTACTAGTAATCATTATGAGGTGATTAGTCACTATGAGGTGACTAGTTGCATGTATAATGAGGTGATAAGTTATTATGAGGCAACTAGAGTACACTTGGGAAATTACAGTCATATCAGTCCATACTGTAAATGACCTAGATCCCCTCTCCTACTTACTGTGCTGTTTATAATTTTGAAGTTTTTACAGAAGCTATCATATCTATACAATACTTAACAAAACCTAATTGTATTTCTTACTTACTAAGTCCTCTTCGTGATTTGAGTACATTAGGCCACCATCTCTGTTTGTCTGCTGACATTGACTACACTATACCCCAAGTCCATCCCTGTTCTTTCATTTCTTTTTCAACTGACAGTCGCCACGTCTCCTTTGGTCGCCCTCTGTTTCTCTTTCCTGGTGGAGTCCATCTGGAGACTACTCTTGGTATATCTGATGGTTTCATTCTCATCACATGACCAATCCATTTCCATCGTCTCTCTTTAACCTGGTAAGATGTAGCAGCTGTGTGCGTCCTTTCATACAGCTCCTCACTGCTTATCTTGTTTGGCCAGAATATCTTGAGTATTCAACGGAGACATCTTGTTTGGAAGGTATCTAGTTTTTTGAGTGATGTTGTTTGTCACCTTCCATGACTCAGATCCATAAAGGAGGACTCCAATGATATTTATTTTGAATATCCTTATTTTTGTTTTGGTTCTGATAATTGAAAATTACCAGATGTTCCGTAGGTTGGCTAAGGTACTAGTAGCATGGGCTTTTGCAATTTTCAACGTCCATGATGGAATCTCCATTGGCTTTGATCTCACTGCCAAAGTATATAAAATTGTCTACTTCTTCTATTCTGTTGTTTGCTGTAACTTCATGATCTATCTTTGTATTTATCTTCATTAACTTTGTTTTGTTTATATTTAGTCCAGTTTGTTTGCTATACTTGACCAGGTCACCATGCAGTCTTGCTGTGAAAATCACTGTGCTACTTAACACTGTCATCTGCAAAGTCAAGATCTTCTAGTGACTGTTGAAATGTCCAGAATATTCTTCTACTGGCCTGACTGGTTGTGATTCTCATAACCCAGTCTATGCAGAAAGTAAAGAGCAACGGTGAAAGCAGACATCCCTGTCGTACCTTCGTTTGGATTGGGAAGCTGTCTGTTAGTTCTGTGCCGCAGATGACCTTTGCGTGGAAGTCCTTGTATAACATCTGAATGATGGATATAAGGAATGATATAATGTCTGAGGATCATACTTAAAGCAGGACGGAGTATACTGTCAAATTCTTTGGCAAAGTCGATGAAATTGGCATACAACGTAGCGTTCTATTCATTGCTCTGTTCAGTCTCAAGGAAAATATCTGGTCTGTGCATGATTTTCCTTTTCTGAATCCAGCTTGTTCTCTACGAAGATATGGGTCTACCACTGAGGCCATTCTATTTAACATAACTCTACTTAAGACTTTGCTGGTAACAACTTTGGCGGAAAAATCCGTCGTCAATAGTAAAATAGTAATAATAGACTAACATACAGTATGAAAAACGTCAGTCAGCATTTGGCTCATGATAAATTGTATTTGCTGACATGGTTATAGTATCGACCATAGAACTTACGAAATGATGAATTTAAACGAGACTGCTGATATTCTAGTTTCATCAACTTGTTTGTCAATAATTTACTTCGTTGTAGAAATTGTTCATACGCAAAACATGCCCATGTGTATCGAATCAATTAAGGTACATAAACTCCGTATGCAGGTGATAAAGGTATATTGCTGCATAAATAAGGGAAGTTTAATGATAGAAAAGTAAAAGTCATCAGGTTTAAATGTATGCAGCTTTGGGAAAGTATGCAAGAATTAAAACAGGCTTAAAATCTACATGGGGAGGATGGGATGTAAACCAGATCAGCAGCTAACACAACGCACAGGGCAGCCTGGTGAGACGGAGGAGGAAGTGGTTCAGGATGACCGCAGCTTCCATTTGTTAGGTAATGATGAGGCTTCATATAGTGAAAGCCATGATAGCAAGAACAACAACCAATCGCGGAGCAGCAATCAACAACAAGAAGAGATGGGAGACAACAGGGGTACTGACAGCAATATAAGGAAGAGAAAATCTAAAATACCAATACCTTCTAAAGGATTGTCAACAGAATATATGGAAGTTCTGGTTATTTGCAGTGAAAGTGGGTTGTAGAGGATTCGTAGGGCAGTCTTTGTGGAGGGCACTGAAATTAAAGCCATTGACATAACGGGAGCAGAGAGAAGGAGATTGATAGGGAGTCTGTGCAGGGAGACGGAATCAAGCGTCAATGTGATGGTGGTGAAAAAGAGCAGAAAATGATAAGCAGTGATTTCAATAAACAGTATTGAGATAGACAGTAAAATAAAACAGCAGTGATGTAGAGTCAAGTGGTTCCAGGCTGGGACCTGATCACCCCAGTCGGCGCATCTCTGGAGGTTGTAGTGAACAGTGCCTAAACAGCTGATGCATCTATCCATCAAGATGTATACAAGTAAAAGTAAAAATAGAGCTTTGTTGTTAGATTACCATTAACGTCTTTTTCAAGTAAAATATCCAAATATGAAATGTGTCAGACTATATGGCTTTCCCATTCTTATGAAGTTTCATGGAATGTTTTACTTCCTCAATTGTTGGTGCGTTGGTATCGAAGTCCAAAATGTCTATACCTTCAATAATTTCAGCTTTTTCTGTTGATGGACATTGCTGGTTTAATACCCGTTCAAAATGATCCTTCCAACAGGTAAGCTCTTCTTCTATACTAGAGGCCAATTCTCCATCTTGTTTTCGCACTGGTGTATCTGTGCTTTTGAATCCTCTACTCAGAATTTTTGTAAAATGCGGAATAATGTCCCCATGTCTTATTTTGAGGCAGCTTGTCAACATAATCTTTCTTGTCCTTTACTGCACTTTTTTTTATTAAACTTCTTTATCTTGTATTGAGTATATATGTTTCTTTTAGCTGATCTTTTAGCCCAGCTGACTTAGCTGTTAGTATTTTCTTCTTTGTTTTGCGTCTTACTTGTAGTTCGACAATTTCCTAGGTCTTAGATGAAATTAATTCTTCCTTCTTCTTCCTTTTCAACCCCAGTATTTTTGTTTCCTGCTTCAACAAGTGTGGTGTTAAATTGTTCAGTTCCGAGTTCTTGTTTATCTTTTAGCAGGGCAGATTGGTTTTTAACCTCTAGCTGAAATGATTTCATGACTGCAGGATCTTGAGGAGACCGGCACCCGTT